ATGTATATATTGTATTATATTGGGATGAGTTTTGTAGTCACATATTTATAAGGAACATGAAATAAACCTGTTTTAGTTGAATGACTAACTTGAAAAAAAGAAGCCATAAGAATCCACTGGGGTCCAACTCTGAACCTCTTCGTTACTCAGGCAGCATCTTTACTTGATGAGCTACTCTCATTTGTCACCACGTGGAAACAATATAATAAATCCAGAACTGTTCAGGTGGACCATCCATTATTGTAGTTGCTGCTGAGTTAATGACTTTTTAAAACAATGCAATTTAAACAGTTTTTCCTCTGAGACGTTCTGCCACACTCTGTCATCTCTATGTTGTGATGGAAACACGGTGAATTAACTTCAAAGGTACACAGGCTGGATAAAAACGTGTCCCGCGGCACTATAGAAATAAATGTCACCATTTTCACTGCTATTCTCTCAGGTTTTACATTTTTAGCAACAGAGCTTAAGTGTACAGACTTCTTCTCATGATAAAAGCAACAGCTCAACTGAAAGTTATGAAGATTTCACAGTAAATTAAATAAAATCTCACTTTCTGGCTTTTTTTCATGGTTTGTGACTTTTCTTGTGAACCTAAGCAGTTTATAACTTCAAGCTTATACCACCTTGGATTCTGGCTGTTTTTGCTTCATCTAAACCTGATCAGTTAACTTAAAATTAAATTACAGCTACTTATAGATCAAGAGTCACTTTAAAATCTCTGGATAAATTACTGATACCATTAGCAAGTTTGCTTTCCATTTTCTAGCAATTATTGTCTAGAATTTTTTTTTAAAGATAATAACACTAGCATTACAATGAATCCTTTTTTTTTTTTATTAAACAGCACTTATGAATTTTTTCTTCTTGCGTCCTATGTATGGTTTTAGTAAAATCTTGATTTATTGCAGCCTGACCGGTCAGGCTGACGCAGGCAGAGCAAAAAGTCGATGTTTGTTTGAAACTTAAATAACCCTGTAAAGCAGATTTTACTCTTGATCAGGATAGATTATGTCTTTTTTTAAAACATATTTGTCTGAGCTCATCAAATCTCTGAAAAAAGGCTTTATATTCTATCTACAGACTTTTGTTTTGGGGTGAGACCAAATAAAACCCAGTTCTGCCCCATTGCTCTTTCATAATTTAGAATTCGTTCACACAAGGAAGCCTGTTTACTTCACCTGTTAGGTCTGAGTAAAAGGAAAATCCTTCAAAAAAGTCTTTAGAGTCTAAGAGTTTTATAATTTTGCTCTACATTTTGTGCCATTATTACAGCTGCTAAATCATTGTGCAAAATGATTGGTATTCTCTATTGTTAATTTGGGAAGAGTGTCGTCAAATGAGTGCTGCAAGCTGATGGAGGAGATAAGTTCTGCTCTCTTTCCTCCCACACTGCCTTCCTCTGACACCTAACAAAATTAGATGAACTGTTAGGGCAGCACAGAAATTGGATGAATAGATTTATTTTTACACATCTCTACCAGGAGTAACAACAAATATGTCTGCCTAATCGAATCTAGAATGATTTTGTGATAAACAGAAAAGATGTTTAAACCTTTATGGGCTCTAATGGAGTAAAACTATTTGTGCAGGGACAGTTCATGAAAATAAAGGAATGTATTGCTTGCATAACTGTCCAGAATTCCTGCTGACTGGTAAATGGTACCAAAGGGAATGAGTGTGACCTGTCCTCAGGGTCCAGCTAAATGCACATTTATTTGCTGGTGTAATTCTGAGAAAATAAAAACAGGCTGCCACTATTTGCTCAAATCAGCCCAAAGGTCAAAATCTCCACTCCAGAGATCAATATGCGTTCAACAACAGCCACCCCCGCACCGATCCTACACTGTTTCCCCAAAGCTGGAGAGTGGCCTGTCTTTTGCCCAATTGGGCCAGGGTTGCGAGTGGAGAAGCTAAGATGCCGGTGTGGTGTAGTCTAGCCTGTATTGCTGTTCTGGGATTGCTCAGTGGCTCCTCGGGACTCATATCAGCTCTGCAAAACCCAGAGAAGCTCTTCACCAGGCCTGTACGACGGGATGTGAAGGCCATTCCGCAGAATCAGCTGAACATATCAGCCCTCAACACGGCCCTGGCCTTTGAACCATACCAGGACCTGACCGCCAGAAGTGCTGTAGGGCAGCAGGACAATGTCTTGTTCTCACCTTTGGGGCTGGCATCAGCTCTGGCTCTGCTGTGCCGAGCCTCTGATCCGGAGAGTCGGAGGCGGGCCCTGCAGGTCCTTGGTGTTGAGGACAGAACGTCACAGAAGAGCTTTGAGGCCACCTTATCAGCTCTAGCAGATCTGCAACACAACCTCACCCTCAGGGAGGGTGGGGGTGAAGGTGTTTACCAGAAGATGCAATCCGAGGCTGTGGTTGAAGCTGCTATTGGTAGCAATGGATCGGGGGCTGACGCAGGAAATGATTCTGATGTAAATGATGGAGCAGAGGGGAGGAGTCAGCTGCTAGTACGGAGCAACCTTCATGTCGATGGGAAACCCTCTGTAGACTTTGAAGGCTTTTTATCCCAACTGCAGCATCCTGAGCAACCCGAGCTGAACACCAGCTTTGAGACATTGATGACAGATCTGCAAGATTCAGACAAACTTAATCTCAACAGTTTTGTGTATTTTAAAGGTAGCTACTGTACTTGTTCTGTAGGAATAATAGGAATAGCAGGGTTCGTTATAGATTACATGCATGTTTTATTTAAAGCACTCATTTCTATCAGTTCTGATGATGATGGCTTACATTTAACCAAATTAGAAAATTACAAAAAAAAGGAGTCTCTAATAGGGAGATTTAATTTCAATTTATGGCCTCAAATAAGGGAGAAAAAGCTGTGGACTTGATTGTTGTCCAGCAGACACTTATTGACACAAGCTGTCTTTGCCAGAGACATATGGTCTTTATATATATATTTATGGAAAATTTAGTGGAAGGAAACAGTTCTGCCTCAAATGGACAGTAAAATAAAGCTGTTCGAAGAGTTTGAGAGGATTTATGAGTCGGAAATGCAAGATCCAGCTTGTGTTAACCCTCTCCTAAACAGAAAACAATGCCATATGTCATCTAAAGCAAAGAAGAAAAAGGAATGGGTAGTTGCTCAGCCATGCAGGATCTTGTTTTCAAACAAAACAGGAAACTCGGAGTTCACTTTGATAATCAAATCTCCAGAGACTGGAGAAAGAATCCAAGCTGCTTTAGATCCAATTTGAAGTTAACATTGATGATTTGCAGAGCTTGGTCATCTAATAATGTTGGTCTGCAGTGTTTTCTCAAATCAAAACTCAGCTCAGCCATCTAACAGAACCACTTCATACCACAGTTTGCTGACCAATGACCATTACATGACTGTGCTCCTCAAAGAACCACATCTTCCTAATGCTGCTCTGTGTGGATGCTGTAATTCATCCATTAGATAGCCTCAAAATTTACACGTCTGTAAAGTACTGTGCATGGTGTTTCTTTATGTAAAATGAAACTAGGGCTTAAACTTTTTATCGTATTAATGGCGATTAATTACATATTGAAATGATCGTCAACTAATTTATTAATTGATTAAGCATTAATTGGGGTCTAGAGACTGTAAAACATTCCTTTAGCTGACAGAGTGACCCCACTTAGAGCAGTAATTATACAAAATTGTGAACAAAAATGTATGAACAATTTGCATTTAAGATAACAACTTTTTTTTTATCTGGCATTATGCTCTATCCAGGACTCCTCAAATGGAAAAGTTTTAGTTTCACCTGGTTTAATCTCATGAAAAATCTTCTTTAAGGAATCTTTGGCTATCCGATTGTTAATCTATTAATCAAGAAACTTATCAACATGGATTAATCGTTACTTGCAGCCCTATAAAAAACCTAACTTCTTAAAACTTTCTAATATTATTCAGAGTGTCTTCATTTCACTTCATGTGAGCCAGAATCAACAGAATCACCCAAATGAATGCTTACTCTGTGTGTAATGCTCCTATGTTGGAGTTTCACATTTTAAACTGAATAAGGAAAGTAACTTGCTTTTATTGAAATGTGTATAAATCCCTCAAACAGAAGAGAAAACCCATTTTAAAGACAATTCAGGGAAACGTTAACAAAAGGATTCTGACACAAATTACATAATGGTTAGTAAGTATGATAATTTATCTTTATTGTATCTGTGTGCAAGAACAAAGAACAACGGAGCATCTGCTTTCTCATTAGCTCTTGTTTTTATGTCCTCCTATAACATTTGGTGGTCATAAATCTACACAGCAGGATGTTTTTATAGGTCTGCAACTTCTGCCTTTGCCATTTTACTGTCATATTTCATCCATAACGTGCTCTTCCTATTAATTAACCATAAATCAGGTCTGCAGCCTTTTGAAAGGCGCCACACAGTGCTGCGGAGCTTCCAGCTCAACGCTACGACCTCTGTGGAGGTTGATATGATGTTCCTGGACGACTCCTCTGAGGTGATGATGCTGTACGACACCAACTGCTCAGCCACCGTGGTGCGGCTGGCCTTCACAGAGCGGCTGTCCTCGCTGCTCCTGCTGCCTAAAGGGGGGATTCAGCCGCTGGAGGACTGCCTCTCTGACAACCGCATGAGGTTTTGGCTCAGCAACTTGAAGCCAGGGTAGGTGCAGCGGGCCGCGGGTCAGATCGGGGCCGGGGGTGGGGGTAATGCCTGGTTCTGAGGAGAAAGAAGAATGGCTTTTGCCTTTCAAAGTTTTGTGGCAATACTTTGTGGAGCCAATTTTAGTCTGTAAGTGGTATTTACCTTCTAGCAACAGAGATCTAAAGATGAAAAAGTCAGTTCTCTGCTCTCATCAGCTAGATCTAATGGGAAGCATCTGTTAAGATCAACTTTGATGTCTTGCTGCAGATTGTGAGTTGGCTAATGGTACGGATTCTCACTCAGCTATTCTAACACATCACAATGCTTTAAAGGAGCAATCATAATTACATCTAGAGTTTCAAACTGGAACAGTGTTATCCAGTCAAGATATATGAGGATGTAACGCAGCTGGATTCATGATGAGTGAAAGTAATATGGCTGGAATACTTCTGAGGGAGGCTGAGGCTTCTTAAGTATTGTTGAGGCTAGTTTTGGGTAATCTTCTCTTGCCGGCTTCCATGTTTGCAGGCTGTTGCTCTTTTGCCAACAAATGCTGTGCTCTGTTTTTGCAACACCTAGGAACTCTCGCATGATTGGCTCAGAAACCAGGAAGTAAACACAGTCTTTACACGACACCGAAGTAGTTCAGCAGCGTACCTCTAGGTTCCAAAGGAGAACAACTTGATAAAGGCGTTGTTGAGAGAACGTTTGTAATTGTTTATAGGGAATGTTATTTTTATTCCAGGTGATAACTGAGAATGATTTGGTTAATTTTACAGTAAATTTCTTATTTCTCTATCTCACTGTATTTACAGGTGCTGGTCATAAAATTAGAATATCATGAAAAAGTAGATTGATTTCAGTAATTCCATTTAAAAAGTGAAACTTGTATATTATATTCATACATTACATACAAACTCATATATTTCAGATGTTTATTTTGTTTAATTTTGATGATTACAAATGACAACAAATGAAAATCTCAAATTCATCATATCAGAAAATTAGAATATTGTGAAAAGGTTCAAAATTGATGGCCCCTGGTGCCACACTCTAATCAGCTAATTAACTCAAACCACCTGCAAAAGCCTTTAAATGGTCTTTCAGTCTAGTTCTATAGGCTACACAATCATGGGGAAGACTGCTGACTTGACAGTTGTCCAAAAGACGACCATCGACACCTTGCACAAGGAGGGCAAGACACAAAAGGTCATCGCTAAAGAGGCTGGCTGTTCACAGAGCTCAGTGTCCAAGCACATTAATAGAGAGGCGAAGGGAAGGAAAAGATGTGGTCGAAAAAAGTGTACAAGCAAGAGAGATAACCGCACCCTGGAGAGGATTGTGAAACAAAACCCATTCAAAAATGTGGGGGAGATTCACAAAGAGTGGACTGCAGCTGGAGTGAGTGCTTCAAGAACCACCACACACAGACGTATGAAAGACATGGGTTTCTGCTGTCGCATTCCTTGTGTCAAGCCACTCTTGAACCACAGACAGCGTCAGAAGCGTCTTGCCTGGGCTAAAGAGAAACAGGACTGGACTGCTGGTGAGTGGTCCAAAGTCATGTTCTCTGATGAAAGTAAATTTTGCATTTCCTTTGGAAATCAAGGTCCCAGAGTCTGGAGGAAAAGAAGAGAGGCACTTCATCCACGTTGCTTGAAGTCCAGTGTAAAGTTTCCACAGTCAGTGATGGTTTGGGGTGCCATGTCATCTGCTGGTGTTGGTCCATTGTGTTTTCTGAGGTCCAGGGTCAACGCAGCCACATACCAGGAAGTTTTAGAGCACTTCATGCTTCCTGCAGCTGACCAACTTTTTGGAGATGCAGATTTCATTTTCCAACAGGACTTGGCACCTGCACACAGTGCCAAAGCTACCAGTACCTGGTTGAAGGACCATGGTATCCCTGTTCTTAATTGGCCAGCAAACTCTCCTGACCTTAACCCCATAGAAAATCTATGGGGTATTGTGAAGAAGAAGATGCAATACACCAGACCCAACAATTCAGAAGAGCTAAAAGCCACTATTAGAGCAACCTGGGCTATCATAACACCTGAGCAGTGCCACAGACTGATCGACTCCATGCCACGCCGCATTGCTGCAGTAATACAGGCCAAAGGAGGCCCAACTAAATACTGAGTGCTGTACATGCTCATACTTTTCATGTTCATACTTTTCAGTTGGCCAACATTTCTATAAATCCTTTGTTTTTATTGGTCTTCAGTAATATTCTAATTTTCTGATATGATGAATTTGAGATTTTCATTTGTTGTCATTTGTAATCATCAAAATTAAACAAAATAAACATCTGAAATATATGAGTTTGTATGTAATGTATGAATATAATATACAAGTTTCACTTTTTAAATGGAATTACTGAAATCAATCTACTTTTTCATGATATTCTAATTTTATGACCAGCACCTGTAGAGAGCAGTGTTTCTAGTTTCTTTTTGTTGTCTCAGAATTCTCTGCCAGGATTGCCCTGCATTTAGCTCCAACACTTTCCCCTTTAACTTCCAAAAGCATTCCAGTCCCTTCTGATGAAAAGCATTCCCACAGCATGATGCTGCCAGCACTATGTTTCTCTCTAAAGATGGTTAGTCCAACTGTTGTGTACTCTGGTTTTTATTTAATTGCATTAAGGTGAAGTGAGTGAAGACAAGTGCAGCTCTTTTTAGACTTATTTTCCAAAATAAAACAAAATCAAAACCATTTATTATTGATCTCACTATAATGCTCTAAACTGCTTGTAAAAAGCCGTCGTATAAGCTGTGCAAAATGCAAACACACAAGGCCTAACGATGCTAGGGGGCTTTGATGATAATAATAATTGAACTTTATTAATCTCACATTAGAGAAATTTACCTCTGCATTTAACCTATCCCCTTGGGGAGCAGTGGGCTGCCATTGTGCAGGGCCAGCGGAGCAGTGTGGGGTTAAGGGTATTTGCTCACAGAGCCAGAGTGGCAGTCTGTGGGAGTGGGGCTCAAACTCAGAACCTCAGGATTCCAAGCTCTATGCCCTATGCCCACTCCCCACACGCCTGCAATTACATTTTTGTTTTTAAATACATTTATTTGTTATATATATTAGCGTATGTTTCTGCCAAGGACACATAAAACATCCAAGAAGTTTTTAGGGTTTTTTTCTTTTTATTGTTCCTGTATTGTTAGAGAAGGAAGAGGGGAAAGGCCAACATCAGCAGAAGCAACTGATTTCACAGACAGGAATGTAGTTCTGAGAAAATAAAAAAATGAAAAAAAGAGGAATTCAATAAGTTACTGAAAGGATTGTTGGGTTACTTTATCAACCCTCTTGGAGATGCAGTTTTTCATTCCTGTCTGCTGTTTTTCATAAACAGTTTCTGCTCGTTTCATACTTTAGAGTTGCATACACTGAATACGCTATCTATAGTTTTAACGAAAAGGAAAAGTTTTATAAACTACTTATGTACGAGATATTAGGATACAAAATAGGAAGTGACTCAGCTGATTTTATAGAAAACTATTTGCTTCATTGTTGATTTTTTCCATTTTTTCAGATAAATAGCAACAAATAATGGCTGAGTCTAAACTGCTTTATTATTCTACTTGATATAAACATATTGCATGGGATAATGTGTTCAGTGTTACTATAAGACTCATGTGACTGTATGCAGAATATTAGCGACACAGCATTTGCAGCATTATATTCTCTCTGCAGCTTCCCCCTCTGTACCTATTACTCTGCCTGACTCTATGGGTGAGTGTAGGGCACAGACTGTGATCTTACACAACAGTACAAGTAGAAAGCTGTTGAACGTTATTAATCTCACACTGGAGAAATGTACCTCTGCATTTAACCCATCCCCTTGGGGAGCAGTGGGCTGCCATTGTGCGGTGCTCAGGGGAGCAGTGTGGGGTTAGGGGTCTTGGTCAGGAACCCAGAGCGGAGGCTGCGGGGATCAAACCAGGTACTTGTAACCTTCTCAGAGCACAAGCGCACTGCTCTGACCACTAGGCCAACACTCCCCCTTGGATCATATTTCTTCTTATTTACTTATTTTCCTAGGCGCAAATGTTGAAGATTCAGGCTGTGTGGAGAGGTGATGCTAAATTGGGTCAAGCCAAAAATCAACCTTTATTCCTCTGTAATTATGCATTCACAGGTTCTCCACAGTTAAAGAAATTCAATTTAATTCAGTTTATTTATATAGCGCCAATTCACAACACATGTCATCTCAAAGCACTTTACAGTTCACCAGATCATACAGTCAGATTAATTCAAAGTGTTCTATCTAGAGAAAACCAGTTGATTGCATCAACTCATTGACTCGAAGGCAATCCCTCACACTGAGCATGCTTGCGACATGTGACAGTGAAGTGGAGAGGAAAAACTCCCTTTTAACAGGAAGAAACCTCCAGCAGAACCAGGTGTGAGCGGCCATCTGCCGAGGCTGACTGGGGTTCAAGGAGACAGAAGCAGAGATACAAAAAGCAGCTGTAAAAGGCGGCCCCGTCCAGGAAACACACAGCCAGGCAGACAAGCTCCGAATCATGTCCCATGTCAGAGGATGAAGAGAGCACATCCAGCCAGTCACAGTCAGAGAAACAGGACTACACTGGAAAACAGGCCGATCTCAAACATCTATAAACAAAGGTGTTGATGGAAGCAGCACAGCTGATATTTCTCTCCAGGATGTTGAAATGAGACATATTTGATTCAAATCTCACAGCAATGGCTGAATAATATTACTTAATCTCCTCCCAGTCGGAGCTGAATGCATTTATAAAGGATATCTCACCTTTTCACTTTGGAAGCTTGGAACTGCAAGTGAAAATTATGTCATGACCCATTTTCTTATTAGTTTAATTACCAGCTATCTTGACCTCCTTTAAAATTCAGACTTCATTCGCAAAAGGCCAGTTGATTCTTAAATGTGAATAAAATATCATAAAAGAGAGAATAACTCGTCAGAACAAGCTTCCCAGACACATTTTAATTTCCAGACTTGAAAGGACTTGATTTTCTACAATACCCTCTTAATTTAGTTATTAGAAAACCAGTTTTTGGACTTTTGAACATGTCATAGAAGACAAAGGGTATGAAAGTAGCATAATTTGTACTTGTAAATCTCCTGGTGATTTAATTTGCTGCGTCACTTAACCACCAGAAGGGTCTCAGTAGCCTCAACATCCCTTATATTTCTAGTGCTACCAGTAACATGCTGAAAAAATAAACACAGCTCTTTCATCTCAGCAGTTGAAGTGGGTGAAATTTCTACTTTAGTCTCAAGGAGTCAGTTGTCTGCCCCCCCAAAGGCATGATGAATGAAGCCGAGACCATTTTAAATGAGCATTAATTACTCTTCTCTCTGCATAAGCCTGTTAAAGCAATCAGTACCACTTGCACGACTTGTAACAAGACCTCTACCGGCGGATCCATTAACACTTTGATTGTTGTTTTCACAGGAGGGCAGAGATCCGTTTTCCAAAGTTCCAGCTGAGAAAATCGTATAATTTGGAGAGTATCCTGAGAAAGGCTGGGATTTCGTCGCTTTCCTTGCATGCAGGCAACGTCTCCTGGACACAAGAGATGAGGAAACTGAAGCTCCATGAGGTGCAGGAGAGTTCATCATGGAATTGAAATATGTTATGATAAACTCACACTATTAAAGAGATGCACTTTGTGTTGCTTTGCTTCCAGGCTCTTCATGAGGTCATGCTGGAGGTGGAAGAGTCCGGTTCTAGAGAGATGGCTAAAATGGACGTTCCGCTTGATTTCAGTGTTCCCCAAAGGATCACCTTTGACCGACCGTTTATACTAATCATTTATGATCATCTGACTGGGCTTGTGCTGCTCATCAGCAGGATTACTGATCCCACAGATGTCTAGATACAAGACAATGCCCTCTGCCCTCTGTCTTTGTTTTTCTGTGTTTACCTACCAAACAGGATAGTTTGACTTTCAGCAGTGCTGCATGTCATAAGAGGATAAAGTAACAAATCTAGTGAGTTCAGAGAAGTGAGCGCATATTGATTTTCAAACATTATGAGAAGATTCATGGTTTAATTCTCTATTCTCACAAAATGATGAAAAGATATTCAAATGGCTGCAATTTATCCCTGTGACTGAATCACTGCTATCTGGTAAAAACATAAAACATTCTTTCTTCCATTACAAAAGCATTTTCTCTGTTGTCTTTTTCCACTCTGAAACCCATTTCCTCCCTTAACATCTCTTTATCTTCTTAGGCAATTATCGGGAAATTGCTTTGCAAGTCTATCTAGGCTCATTCGCCGACACAAAACAGCAAAGGCTGCTGAAATAGTGTCACATTTTAGTGGCTTCCTGCAGCTTTTTGCCTCAGTCAGGCAGCCATGTGGCAACGCCGCATTGATATTTACCTCCCTGAAGAGATGATGAATAGAGGATAGTTTGATGAAAAGGACGGCAGATCCATCATAACTAACACAAATGTCGGCCTATTAATCAGCGAGGCTTTTCACTGATTCATGGAAAGACTGTGGATCAAGAGCCATAAGGCACCGGTTCCTGATTCAGGGTCTGCCTACATGTGCAAACTGAGGCAAATGACACCATTTCCAACTTATTTTATCCTTTCTCTCTGGTCTTTCAAAGTGCCTGTAAAGTTTTCATCTGAACATTTTAAAACACTATTAAATTAGTTCAAAACTTCATCCCCTAACTGAAATAAATGATTTCAAATACCATTTTCTCTCCATCACAGACAATATAGAGATTTCCTTTAATTGTATTTTCCCTGTAAAGCATGTTGTGGCTGCTGCTTAATAAAGATGCTATATACATAGATATCCAAACGCTCCAAAATATCTTATTTAACGTATGGTCATGTGAAAAAATAAACACCCCCATAGATTATTCAGTGAGTTAATATGAAATGTTCACATACTGGTCTCTAAGCTCATTTTTAAGTCATCTGGATAAGAATTTATTGGACTTAAACAACAAAAAACAGCAACAAAAAAGAAACAAATAATTCAACTAAACATATGTAGGATACCCCCACTTTCAAAAGCAAGTGCTATATGCTTTTGTTTAAAATTAATGAAAAATATGCTCTTTTTAGTCTTTTTGGTCTTCATAATCACTTATAGAAAAGTCCAGAGAGATCAAGATCTGGGCTTTAAGTCCTTAGGCTTTTCTTTTATTCACAGCAAGTACTTTGATGACTTAGTAGTTGGTTTCATGTCGTTTATTCTAGCAGGGTCCACTTCTTTACAAAGCCTAGGCAGAAGTTCAACTAAAGAAGCTGATTATTTACCCTCAAACCGCCTCTGACACAAGCCAATCAGCTTTGAACCACACCTCCATGAAGCCCAATCAGCATCAAGAGTTCCTCTTAAAAGGTCTCCAAATCCACAACTCCATCCGAAGCGCAGGCAGTGTTTGCACTATGTCTGACTTTGATTCAGATGCCCCTGATTCAACCCACTTCCTTCCCCTTCTCCACCATCGTAGCTAAAGCTTCATCTGACTTTTCCAAGGTGCTTCTTCTACTTCATCGCTATCAGTGAGTAATCCCCCCCGGACTCTTACTGCATTCCACGTCTCATTTCAACCGGTCGAAGGCCGCCATGTTGAGCCTGGTTCAGCCAGAGGTTTCTCTCCAATGGGGTGTTTTTCGTCTCCACTGTCGCTTCATGCTTGCTTATCATGGACAGGTTTATGCAACCTGTGTTATCCAAGCTGGGCCTCTATCTTCCTGTCCCTAAGTGAAGCTCTAGTATCAGCTCTAGCTGTCTACTGGATCTCACCATAAGCGTCGTTAGACCTATTTAAGGGTGGCTTCAGCCACCCTTTCTTTGGCATTAGC